CACTTCTGCTCTCTCTTTTACAGCCAAAACAAAAACAATAAATAAATAATAAAAACTATACACATTTTAAAAACGCACACAACCTCTTTATCTCCTCTGAATAGTTGAAGCTGAGTAACTTGGGGGTAGGCAGGTAGTAGGAGAATCCTTGGACCAACTGGACTAGACCACAAACGGAGAGGAAGAGGTGCCCTCACAAAGTGCTTTCCAGGTTAAGTAAGCCCCGCCTGAGGAGGAGCTGGGGGTAGAGAGAATTTATTCTCCCCCAATTCAGCTCCCTTTGGAATGAGGGCGAGTGGAAGGTCAGCTAAACAGATGGGGAGAGAAGTCTTCCAAGATCTCCAGGGGATGGGAAGGTTGAGGGGGGAGGTTACGGGGGCGGTGGGCGCCGTCGACCTAAAAGGAAAGAGTTCTAGCCGGTGGGGACCCGGGTCATTCAGCTTCGGTGTGTGTCGTCTCCAAAAGGGGATCTGCTGCACCCTCCCCGTACCCCAGCCGCCGTCTTTGGTATGAAGAAGAGTCCAACCTGGGAGTGTCGGGGTATGGAGGGACCAATGAGAGGCTGATCCGTTCAGAGGGTGCAGGGAGAGAGCTGGCTGGGGTTACACCCCTGCCTCCCCCTTCCCCCGCCAGAACTTGGGCTTGTCCTGTTTGACGTGCCCGCCGAAGGGGGCGGGAGGGGTACTGACCAGGGGAGCGATCCCGCGACTCTACTCCCTGCTGCCCCAGGCCCTGCCGAGTCGCTGCGGGACTAAGCGTGGCTGTCCCTGGAGACCAGGATGGAGGTAGGAGCGGTCTAGAGTTCCAGAGGGGCCAAGTATCTAAAAGGAGCCCCATGGAGGTGGGAATGGAGTGCAGTCTGGAGTCTTCATACTAAGGGTCTGTCGATGGTATCGCAGTTCCTGGAAAGAGGGGAGTGAGAGGGTTTTGTCCTAGGCTTGGGTGGGGGTCTGGCTCGCGGCTGCGCCCCCTCTGCTCCGGCCAGGGCAGCGCCTCCTGCTGGCAGGGCCAGAACTCTGCCGGCCAGCTGATGGGACCCTGGGGCGGGTGCCGCCACCTGGAGGGCATGTGCGGCCGCCCTCCGAGTAAGTCCAGGGGGCGCTGCATGCTTTGGGGGAGGAGCCGCGTCGCCTCGCCCTTTGCTTCTGCGGGCAGTCCCGCGGCGCCAGCACCCAGAGAGGAGTGACAGTAGAGCCTCCCCAGGCGCATCCCGCCGGAGCCACAGGGTCTGGGCCTGGGACAGAGGGATGGACGTGGCTTCCCCGAAACCCAGAGGGGGCGCCTTGACGCTGGGGCTAGCGAGTGGTACACGAGCGTTCTTCTTTTTCGATCCGTTCCTCTGCTGAGGTCGATCGGAGCCGCCCTCTGGGACCGCGGCGCTTTCATTCCTCCGGCGCTACAGGCTGGGCGCGGGCGCACGGAGCTTGGTCCGGGGGATCAGAACCTTCCGCTCCAAGCTCCAGAGTCCTGCCGGCCCTTAAGCTACTTCTGCCTGTGGCGGTGGGTGCTCCAGAGTCCTTTTTCTAGGGAGGGAGTAGAGGAAGAAGCGGAGGGTGAGAGAACGGAGAAGGGAGAAGAGGTATGTGGATGGAAGGACAGTGGGTGACACCCCGATAAACAGAACAGGGATCGTAGAGAGAAGGAAGAGACAGAAATGGAGAGGGCAGGACTGAAAGGCGACGGGAGAGGGCGAGAGTAACAGAGAAGGCGAGAAAGGGAGAGAGAGGGAGGGAAGGAAGGAGGGAGGAGGTAAGGGGGAGGGAACCTGAAGAGAGAGAAGGGAGCAGGCGGCGGAGCCTGGCGGGCGTGGGGCGAGGCCCGGCGTGCAGGCGGGAGCCTGTGTGCAGAGCTGCGTCCGGGTCCGGCTCC